TTCCCATCCCTAGACATATCTGTTAACAGGGGAGTGAGTCACCGCGAGGTGCAGCGGCCCACTAGCTCAGTCGGTTAGAGCGTCGTGCTAATAACGCGAAGGTCATAGGTTCGATCCCTGTGTGGGCCAACTTTTTAATTTTCTCCTGTGAGTCTCCTTATTGAGTGAGGACAGGTGGGATATATATTCGGTCTCAACACGCAAACTCCCCTGGATCTTGATGAGATTATTCTCTGTTCTGGCTTGAACCGTATCGGGAAAACTCTTGGAGCGCAGGCACCGGCCGGCCTGTCGAAGAGTCCCGGACATAATTCAGCCACATAATCATCGGGAATTCCTCTTCGATGCTGACTTCTCTTCACTGAGACCGTATCAGCAGACTGCAGAGAGGCTCAGAGTTCCGTAAAATTATTCTCCGGAGAACGCTCGGATCGCACAAGAACGCAGCGACTTTGCAATCGGGAGCAAGGAATGATATAATCTCCCGCCTGGAACATGATTGAAAGCAATGGCAATCCGCTGCACGCAGGCAGGTCGGCGATTGGCTCCCAGAAGTTGACAATGAGCTATAGCCTGGTTTCATCGGCGAAGAGCATGCAGCAAAAGAGGGCTCGTCCGGGATTTGAACCCGGGACCTCTCGCACCCGAAGCGAGAATCATACCCCTAGACCAACGAGCCGACATCAAATTCGCGTGCCGCGTATCTTTTTGAAGCTCGTCGACATCGTCTCACCGTATCAAAACACACAACACACGAAGTGGATCCATTGGTCTCTCCACCTCCCATGATCCGCGGAGTTTCAGGCATCTCGACGGTGTAGACGGTGAGGCGCTCTCATCATTTTTCTCGCTCGTTTCGAACGAGGCGGACAAAATTTGTGATCGCCCAACGGAACCCATGACTTGCATCAATCATGGGGAAGTTCAGCCGCTTTTCCGTGAAGCGTGACGTCAGATACCGTTATGTCTCCTCTCTAGCGATGGTGGAAAACCGCCAGATTATTCACTCTAGCTAGATACTCGTCCGATCCCTGATGAGGCTGGACTTTGAGTGTTTCTTCCTTCTCTTTTTTTGGGTTCGCCTAGCTGCAGTGGCGACACTAGCTCGCTCGCGTATTCCGACACCGCGGTTATCCGTCCGGTTGATTCTCTTGAAGAAGTCTCTGATAAGTCGATACTTCAGACATTCGACTTCCCAACAGATAAACAGGTGAGGAATCTTTCCCTGAAGATGCGGTAGATCCTGAAACCGCTCTCGGATAGCAACATGGGCGCACGCGCTCACTCGGTTCGAGATGACCGCGACTTAAGGCCCAATGTTCCTCCCTGAATATGCACAGGTCTCAAGTCGAGACTCGCTATCAAGCGCTGACGGGCATCGAGTTCCGAGGACAGGGGAGCGTCGGCCGACGCCGACGTGTTGCTCCGATGTGTTCCGGAGTTCAATCAATTTCAATCAATTCGTGGTGGTGTATGCTCACTCAGACGGAAGGCTCGTGGCGCGCGAATTCGAAGAAGAGGAGCATGACTTCCGACTCATGTGTTTCGCGAATAAATTCGGACAGCTAGCGGCGAATGCTCCATATAACCCTTCTCCGGTTTGGGGGAACGAATCCTCCGTCGGAGATTAGATGTTTCGTGAAGTCCCCCTCACTCAGGAGCAGAAATCGTTGGAGTCGTGGAGTTGAGCTCTCCAGCTCGCCGGATTTCCACGGCCAAATCGCGAGGCGTCTAGGGAGCAAGTTCCCGCGGAGGGTCCGCCGCGATCCAGAGTTCAATTCTCTTCGTAAGTAGCTGTAAGTTTCGAGATGAATGAAATCCATAAAGAAGAATTTGTCGGTCTCGATCAGAGTCTCGACCCAACTTTTCTTCTGTTGTAATCTTCCGAAATTGATTGTGTCGAGACTCGAGACCCGCGCTTCTAGAAAAGAAGACTTTGAGCTCATCCTGCGGAATTCCAACCTGACCGCTCCTCGCTCAACCACACCATGGTCATCCCCGTGACGCCGTAGAGTGGCCAAGGCTGTCGACCGGTCTCGCCGGCAAACACTGCATCGTCTCAGGATGGCGGTCTCTCTCCATCTCATTGAGTGTCCGAGCTCAGTCAGTCAACAGATCTATCACTCAATGAGTACAGAGGGGGTCGCTCGCCTAATTGATGAGGAGCCAGAACCCATATCGGGTAACCTTCCCCCGATAAGCGGGTCCGACTGACGTTCACTGACGTATACCCGCTTCGCTTTTGCTCCTCAATCTCTTCTTAGACTGACGCTGTAATCAGTGTTTGGACGAGGGTTGAGCCCTAGAGCCAGTGCTTGGCCTCGAGTGTGCACTCGTCTCAAAACCCGAACAGAATTTAGGGTAGCGAACTTTTGCAAATAGCGAGCGATTGCTTACGGCGTCAACGTATGATTGGAGCTTCGATGAAACCGAACGTTCCGATATCACGTCTCACGCCCACTCTTCACACTGTTTTGGAACGTTGGAATTGGGACATTGTTGTATTCCACGCTGACATGAAAATCTCTCTGACTCAAGGACCATGATTTGTGATGTACTTGAACCCCTGAAATTATGTGGTCTAGACCGTGCAGCTAGGATCGGGCTGTCCGGTTTTATCGAAGATCTTTGCATGGTCCATGAAATAGCTCCGAGTCCGAGCGACCATGAAAACTCATCCGACGGGAATCCGAGTTTCGAGAAGCCAATGAATCACTAAACTGCTGATTCGGCCTTGACCCCTTGCTCAGAATATGTCGTTTTGATCACATCCCCCTCCCCACAAGCATATCCATTGCCTCAGGCAAGACTCCGCGCGGTTCGAGACCCGCGGCGCGGCGGTACATCGCGGATTTTTTTCGAATCGCGCGCTGAACCGTGGAATCCTCTCCCATTATATCGCATCCGGAGTAACAGACTCTGCACTCTGCTTCACGTGGTGATATTGTTCAGCTCCTCGTTGCTTATGATGACAATGACGTTCCTCAAGAGCCGGTACAGTTCTCTAGATACAATTGAGTGTGGGGGTGGCGAGCCGAAATCATGACGGAATATCGCATCTCATCCTCAAATACCGAAATAGTTCTCTCCTCCATCGTCGTAGAGTGCCGACCTACCGTTACTCCGGAAGTCCGAATGACCCTTACTGAGCGAAAGTAGAAAAACAAGTGTAAGAGGCTCTCACTCTCTCCGTGCCCTTTCAAAATAATCATCAGAAAATTGGAAGTCCCCGATTCGCCCTGGAACGAGCCGCTCCACCGGAGACGAGCTTCAGGATGAGACCTTGTCTCCGACACGAGAATCAGGTGGGACTCCATCGCAGAGAACCCGATTCTTCCCCATGTGCTCGTGAGCACCGTTTGGATTTGGCGGGCTCCGCTTTGAATTTCCGGTTTCGGGGGAGCGCCATGTTGCAGCAGAGAAGGCTGTTCTGAAATCGTGGAGGAGAATCCTCCATGAGAAGTGCAGAGGAGAGTTCCGAAGACGGTGGGACACATTTAAGGGAAACGATCAGCGGGCTAGGATAACGGATTCGTTGGCCGCTAGCTCCGAGAAGGTGAGCATCCGCTTGTTCTGCTCTAGGTTTCTCCACACTGATCGACACGACTCGGAGAAAGTCAGTGTGCGCGCGAGAATCCTTCTCTGACAGATCTACAGCACTCCCTCTGCTCTGTCACATTCCCTGAAGCTGGTGTTCCATAGCTCGGAGCACGAGAGATCAGATTCGCGATTTCTGTCAGATTTCGTCTCGGGCATCGATGCCGGTACCATGGTGGTCTCCGGTGATCCAGGAGGACAATCGTTTTGACGGGGACGGGGAGTTGTCGCGCCGGAGGCTCGCAGATAGATTGAAGCTCAGAGTAGTTATGACTTGCTCTCGAGGTTCCATACACTCCATTAGAGTTGGAATGGGATCGCTACGAGACGTTTGGCAGCGCCCTTGAGGTCGTTGGAGGCATCCTGGGCTTTTGGCCGGGAGATTCTTCCAATTCTGTATTCCATGCTGAGTCTTGCTGTATCGACTCATGCTCCGATGAGACAGGGTCTCTGAAATCGTGGACATCTACCTCTGAACATCCATAGGGCATGAACTCGGGAACAGGCTACAGGAGCCCGATGGGGAGTTCTCTCCCCACAACATGTTCCGGATCAAAATATCGGAAGCATCGGGAATAACCAAGCTGCGTCGACGCTAGTGACCTCTCCCCAGAATTCTCCGAATCCTGTAGAGATGGGGTATCTCCAAGTAATATGCACCTCGGAGCAATGCATACCGGTCTCGACGGTAGTCGATCCTTCTCTACCACTCTCGGGTTTCGGGAAAAAGAGGTTGGGACATCATTTTCGAGGGTCAAATCGAAAATGAGGATGGGTCCACCGTCACGTTTTCCTCCAAGCCCAGCCGTTCTCGAGGGAGAGAATCAGGAAAAAGGGACGCTTCTCCTTCCTCCATAGGGAGAAATCGAGTTTGTGACTTTTTCTCGTAGGCATCATCCCTGATTTAGTGGGGAATATTTTTTTTCCGAGGGGAAATCGAAAAGCCGGGGGGGGTCATCCATCGCGGTCTTTACTCAGAACCTCAGCCTTCCTACGAAAAAAAATCAATCTGGTTCGCTTCCGATTCCGACGGGAGCAGTATGGATCAGAGACTGGAACAGCGATGAGGAGCTGGAGAGAGAATAGGAATCTCTCTGCCCAATGGCACCATGGCCGACGACAATCGACTGTTCTCCTCCAACCTCCAAATTCTCCATATATTTTCGTGATAGTTGGTCCATCAAACGCGTCCGCGACAGGGGTGCTGCGACGCAATAGTAGCGCCTGGATGCGATATTTGAGTGGCGAGTGAGGATCTTGTAAGCCTCATCATATCGGAATCTTGTAATCTTATATCTATAGACGAACACTATCTTACAGATAACGCCGGCTTCTTATACACATCATCACCCTCGCCTGACGGCCGCATGCCAGTCGAGTAGTCTGCTTGCGCCACGGAGCCCAGTCCAGGATCATTGCCATCGAGGACGCGAGTGGCCCTGCCTCGTGATAAACTCCGGCTGACTTGAGCTGCAATTATGAACGGGAATCTGCACAGCGATATCGTGTGTATCTTAGATGCTGGTGCTCAATATGGGAAAGTTATCGACAGACGAGTTCGCGAACTCAACGTCGAATCCGCCATCATTCCGTTGAGCACCACCGCCAAAGAGATAGTCGCCGCCAAGTACAAAGGTATTTCCCAGATTTTATCCTGACGTGTCATCACTAATTATCACTAATCGCATCACTTATAATTTATAAGTAAGGACGTTACAAAGGAGTATATTTTTTGTACCATGCTTCTGTCAATCGCTATTTCTCCGGGAAGATCTCCAGATGTCTTTCCCTCGATCATCTCAATTTTTTTCTTTCATCGATTACAGGCATCATCATTTCCGGTGGTCCGGGTTCTGTTTATGCACCAGACGCCCCTACTTACGATCCCGAGATCTTCAAATGCGGCATACCTGTTCTCGGTATCTGCTATGGAATGCAGCTCATCAACAAGGAGTTCGGAGGATCCGTAGCCCGCAAGGACAACAGAGAAGACGGCCAGTTCACCATCAACGTAGACAATTCTTCCGCCATCTTCAAGGGTAGGCTGACATGTTTCTCTGCACAAGATCTTAATCTCTTATCTCTGCTTCGATTGCTATCGGCCTTGGTCGGACTGGTCATCATCCACTTGTTATTAGTCCCGCGACTCGTATCGTACGCTGACGGGTAATCGCGACGCCGCCAGAATGGCGTTAGACGGGCGGGCTGTCTGTCCGAGCGGATACGCTGCCCGACCGTCCGGGACGACCCGACGGAGTATCGGTTTTTTATTGTGGACTCGTAAAGAGGAATATCGACGTCTAATTGCTCACGTGCCTCCGGATTCGTCCGGACTCGAAAGTCCAACCGACCAATGTTTTTTTTCCACTCAGGGCTGGAAGCGAAGCAAGAAGCTCTACTGACGCACGGGGATTCGGTGGCGAAAGCCGCGGACGGTTATGCAGTCACAGCCACGTCCGGAGATACCGTAGCCGCCATCGCATCCGAATCGAAACGGATATTTGGAGTCCAATTCCATCCCGAAGTGGATCTCACACCGAAGGGCAAAGAAATTTTCCGCAATTTCTTATTCGATGTTTGCGGATGCACGGGATCCTTCACTCTCCAGAGCAGAGAAGTGGAATGCATCGAGTACATTCGGAAAACAGTCGGCTCCTCAAAAGTTCTCAATCTCGTATCGGGCGGCGTAGATTCCACGGTTTGCGCGGCGCTCATGCGGCGAGCCCTACCCGAATCGCAGGTGATCGCTCTGCACATCGATAACGGCTTCATGCGCAAGGACGAGAGTGTCCAGGTTGCGGAATCCTTGGAGAAGATTGGATTGAAGCTCAAGGTCATCGACGCCTCTCAAAGGTTCTATAATGGAACAACCGAGTTGCCCTGCGATCGATCCGATCCCAGCAAGGGTAAACGACGGACGAAGGTGTTGACTCAGACCGTCGCACCCGAAGAAAAGCGAATGATCATTGGAGACACATTCATGAAGGTCGCCGACGAGGTGGTCGCGGAATTGGAACTCAATCCAGAAGACGTATTTTTGGGACAGGGCACACTGAGACCGGACCTGATCGAGAGCGCGAGCGCTCTGGCGTCCGGTTCCGCGGACGCTATCAAGACCCACCACAACGATACCGAGCTGGTTCGTATGCTCCGCGAGAAGGGACGAGTCGTGGAACCTTTGAAAGATTTCCACAAAGACGAAGTTCGGGCCCTCGGCCGAGACCTGGACCTGCCCGAAGAGTTGCTCATGCGCCACCCGTTCCCGGTCCCGGTCTGGCTGTTCGTGTCATTTGCGCCGAAGAACCCTACATGGAGAAAGATTTCAGCGAGACTCAAGTGCTGTGTAAAGTCATTTGCGACTACGCGCATGCGTCCCAAAAGAAACATTCTCTTCTGCACAAAGTGGAAAACGCATGCACCAAAGACGAATTGGCTTTCCTCACTGAAATGTCGCTGAAACTCAAGGTGACGCCGACACTGCTGCCTATCAAAAGCGTGGGGGTCCAGGGCGACAAGCGCACCTACAGTTACGTGCTCGGACTGTCCACGTTAGACGGCAGAGTTCCTGAAGACTGGTCGATGCTTATGAAGTTCGCCAAGCTCTTGCCGAAAATCTGCCACAACATCAATCGAATCGTGTTCATCTTCGGCGAACCGATCACGCAACCCGTGCAGGAGATCACTCCAACCTTCCTCACTCCGAACGTCTTGCAAATGCTGAAACGGGCCGATCATGTCGCCCAGAACACGTTGCGGAAGCACGGCGTCACCAAGAAACTTTCCCAGATGCCCGTCATTATAGTTCCCATTCATTTCAACTGTGATCCTCGTCAGACTTCGTGCCAGAGGTCGATCGTCGTACGAACCTTCATCACTGAGGACTTCATGACCGGCGTTCCTGCGCAGCCCAACAAGCACTTACCATTGAAGGTAGATATTCCCGTATCGAGCATTCATTCCATGACCATATGTCGACAGTAATGATGAATTTTCATTCTTATCCTCTCAATCCACTCCTCCCGCCGATTGTTGACATCATTTGTCTTCTCCTCAGGTCATTTTAGACATGGTCGAGCAAATTCAGAACGTGAGCGGTATCTCCCGCGTGATGTACGATCTAACTCCGAAGCCTCCCGGTACCACGGAGTGGGAATGAACTCTGCACGATAGCGACAGCGGTGGTGTCAGTGCGGATCTTCTCAGGAAAGGACTTCAAAATCAGCCCTCGATCGACCCGCGACGTCGGAGTAGGCACCGTCCAGGCGAAATCAGCGAGAGATTCTGAAATCCCAACGGCCGTCCTGTGCTTTGTCTCACTCAAGCGTCGTGGCCGCATTCCGTTCCAGGAAGTTTCCAGAGAAAAAGATGCCCTTCTGTTGAACCTATCATTTTATACTAATTGTAAGCCTAGAAGTCCTTAGTTCGGTAGACATGAGGGTGATTGCGAGGGGTCCGTCGCCTGTTCGATGGTTTCGTCGTTCGGCCGACTCCCTCGTTGGAGATTCGATGCAATTCCTTCATTGTGATGCACGTACGTTTCGAAACCAAAGGATCCGTCTTGAGTGCATCTCCCACAGGTATTTTGTGCGGAGCTCATTATCGATCAAATATACATGAAGCTTGAATGAAAATGTTGATTTTGCGGCATAAACGAAATAGCAGGTCCTCTGGCGGGATGGAGCTCCGAAACTGCTGGCGCCTCGGCTGACTGAGCGACGACTTATATTGAGTCACAGGAAATGGAAGAGTATGATCTTTCGGCCTGGATCCGGGAGTGCGAATGTTGCCTGGTATTTAAGTATTTAATTTTATAGTCAATAAATTCGGTGAATGTCCTTGGATACAGGATTACGTTGTATCCATGAACTTACTGAGCCAGGGTGGGAGAATTTTGTCTGAGTCCGCGGGTTCTCGAACCACACGCCGTTCAAGTCTCAAGGACGATCCAAAGCGAGATCGAGTCATTTTGATTCCTGTTGAGTCTGCTCGAGAATAATTAGAAATGAACGATTCCTGAGAAGAGATCTTTGATCTTTGAGACGGGCGAGACATGAACGAACATCCGAGCTCTCGAATAGTCAGGCTGAATATATGTATTTTCTTGAATGATTGATCCAATTGGACGATGGGTTCGGCGGCACCATGTCCCTCAGTCCCCTTGAGCAATGTATCCCTATTCTGAAGAATGCATACGTCGTCTGAATATGATACTGGGAAAGGCACAAGCTGGAGGAATGCACGAAGGTTCCTGTTCAAGCGGGTCAGGGAGTTCTGGTGTGGAAACTCGGCAGCCTCGAGTCTTCCAGGTCCGCGACGGCTGAGCGATGGAGTTGTAAATCCTTAAAATCCGCCTCGAGTCACAGTCAGGTCGCGGGAGCAGAAATTCCTCGAGTACGAAGCAATGTCGCTGGCAGGGACTGTTCTCGAGGCTCAGGACGCTCCTTACGCGCTGACTTCCTGCTGCTGCGGCGTGCGGTCTCATGAAGATATTGCTCTAGCTAAATCGCGGAAAACCATTCACTCCGTTCCTGCCTCAGGCGCATGCAGATGGCTTCATGTGGACCCTCTCCCTCAGCATGTACCTACGATACCTTCAAATGGAAGTGCTTAGACGCCTAAAATTCCAGCCGATCGAAGCCACGGGTTCCTACTGCCAGTCTGCCGACCTCCCGGAGAATCGATGCTTTGGTCAAGTATCAAGTATAAACAGTGTTAATAGCGACAACTTCCCCATCCCCCGTTAGCTTTGTGGTGAGCAGCGCCCACTGCAGGATGGGGCCCGCCCATTCTATTCCGGCTGGGGTCCATGGCATAGAAATTCATCGGGATTCCTGACATCGACTGCTTAGTTAGAACGATTCGCTCGGGTCGCAGTGCGAAGACTGTAGTTTAGGTGACGCTCGGAGTAAGAGAGCGAGACTCACACCAGTTTTCGCTGATCGCGAACTTTCTCTCCCCAGACGTAGGGAAGTGGCCACCGTGGATCATGCCCCCTCCCTCTTGGGACTCAGAATCGAGTGACATAATCTGGCGGACGGTGAGTCGTCGTGTAAGGCAAGCGTCAGAATCCTGGAGGTCCGCGCGCGATTCCCCACGGCACAGCTGAGCGGAACATCCGTGACGGAATCGCCGCCGGCAGGTAGAGACCCCACTTGACCCTGTTCCCGATAGTTGGAGAATTTTTCGCATCTCGCGCGGATTTTTGTCGGGGCGGAATTCTCCCCAAGTCGAAAAAAAAAATTCGAATTTAGTCAAATTTGGCGGGCATCTCTCGCCGAAGTTGGTATAGGTTTCGATGTCCGCCATATTGTCTTTCTGGCCATCGGCTCTTTCGGCGTGCTACGCTATTCAAACAAGTGCTGGTTTCATCCGCCTAAATCGCGCTCCGGACAGCGCAAAATTGTCGTCAAAATGGAGGGAACATACGCGTGCAACCTCAACAATCGTTTCGAACTTTTCCTCGACGAGGAGAACGATCCTCTGGAGATCTTAGCCAAGTCGCAGCAGGAGAAGCGCAAGGGAACCGTAAGTTCTATCTCACCTCGTTTTCTTCCCCCGACCGCCCGTCCCGTGAAATAAATCCCGACGCTGGCCGAATGATCGAGCTCTGATTTTAGCATCGGTTTCAAGCCGAACGCGAGTCGACCCCGCAATGACGAGCTTGTTTACAAAGACTTGTCTTCGGAAGTGCACCGCTGATACCGCGATGGAAGTTTTCTCTAGTATGATATAGCGAGCGTTCATGGCATCTTCGGAGAAGTAGAAGCTCTCCGTCATTACTCGTACGTTCGAATGCCAATGAAAGTGACGCGAGTGTGTCACGATGTCAGGTCCGAATGTTCGCGGCGTAAGTCGCTACCTTACCGTGAACCGCGCGATTCTCTCGGCCATATTTGTTCCGAGCGATGCGGCAAGCTGTTGCATGGTGTATACAAGTCGATTCCGTCCCGCGAATGCGCTGTCTATCGGACAGCTGTGTCGAGCCAGCGAGATCAGACCCTAAGACGGAGAAATACTCGATGACCGGCTCCCGGAACCAGTTCCTTCGCTTTAGGAAACTGGATGCTCTTCCATGAGTTCCTAGGTCGGGGAGGCGATAGCGAGAGTTTGCATCAACAAGTGTTCCATCGGATCACGACTGTGAGCTCTCGGATCTCCGATCAGACTTGAATTCTGCATTGCTGTCGGCGAACATAGATTCTATTCAAAGATCCAACATTCGTCATGTGAACATTCGCCAATGTCGCTCATCGGCATAGCATTGTTTCCGTCGTTCAAGCGAGTGTGGCGTCGCCGCCGGTAGTTCTCCGTGGGTATTCTAGAATTCTAGAATGCTGTCTCGGGAACGGTGAACTCGGAAGTTTCGTTCAGGTTTCGCGTGGTCGATTCTGGCGCTACACCAGGTGTTCTGATTTACGGTCTTCAGAGGCTGAGCCGAGGAATTGAACGAAACCTGTGAGCCCCGCACGTGGTGAGCGTCCGCGGGAGGGCGCTGGGATCGTCGCGAATGGCGCGTCTCCATTCACCTTCTGATCAGTGTTGTTGAATCGCCTCTTTAATTTCGCTCCCTGTCCCAGAGCTTTGCCAGCTGTGCGCGAGCTAACAGCACGCTACTAATTTCACAGGAAAAGTCGAAGGATACCAAGAAAGATGCCAAGAAGAAGGGGCTGTCGAAAACGCTAAAGGAATCCGTGAAGACCATTGCCGCCGCCGTCGATTCGAACGAGCCTCGCGTGAAGGCCGGTAGCACCTCGCCCACTCAAGGAGGTGGTTTCGGTGGAGCGCCCCGTCCCCCTCGACGTGAGAACCTGGAACGGCGAAACAACGAAAGGAACTTCGAACCCCGACCGGAAGGCGATCGACCCCCTCGAGAGAATCGCGGACCGCGCGACGGAAACCGACCGCCCCGCAACTTCGAAGGACCCCGGCCCGAGGGTGGACGCAACGTACGCAACGACGGTACTCGAGGATCTCGAGACGGACAACGACCTGGTGGACGAGGACGTGAATTCGACCGGCACTCTGGGGATACTCGTTCGGGCGTGAAATCGACTGAGAAGCGAGGTGGACAAGGAGCACACAACTGGGGAAAGAACACCGATCAGTTCGATACCACCCCGGAGCAGGAACTCGTGGTCCCGGAGAATCTAGATGTCACCCCCGAGGGCGTCCCTGAAGGTGCGTTACATACTCAATGGGAGGATTCCTCAGTCCTCACTCGAGCTATATATCTTTTTTTCCGCAACTTCCTGGTGAGCATAGCACCTCGAACGCATTCAAGTACTGAGGGGCCAGTGTTTTTCGAATTGCAGGCGTCGCCGCTGGAGAGGAACCGGCTGTGCCCGCCGAGCCCGAAGCTGTTCAAATGACGTTGGAGCAATGGAAAAAAGAGCAAGCGTCCAAGGTGTCCAAGGCGGAGTACGCAGCCAATATTCGCAAACCGAACGAAGGTGAGAAAGAGGATCCGAAACTCAAGAAGGCTGTCGTCTTGAAAAAACTGAAGGCCGGTGAAGAGGACTCGGACGACGCCGACGGTGACGATGCGAATGACGCCGAAGACGAGTGCGAAAAACTGAAGAAGGAACTAGAGCAAACTCTCGCTTCCCAATTCCACTTCGCTGACGTTCGAGGACCCGCCCGAGGTGGCCGTGGTGGTCGCTCCAGCGGACCTCCGGGACCCAGGCGACAAGAAGAAGGTAACCAGCCGAGCAGCCGACCACCACGAGGAGGCAAGCCCCAGCACACTCCTCGTGTCGAGGATCTCAACGACTTCCCTTCTTTGGCAGCGTAAGCGTACAAAGAAGCTTCCGGGTGCTTGTGGTTCAACATATATGAGCGACAAGGACTCGCGAACCGGAGCCGCCCTTCAAGGTGGTTTCCGAAAATCTTCAAAAGGGTTTTGGGGGACCGTTGCGAACAAGGGAGAGGGTGATGAAGGCGGCGATTGAACATGGAGGCGCTCGATGATGAACACGGGCGTGTAAAGTTATTATCAGCATCCTATCTACTGCGGACGGCACAGAAAGATACACGCAAACAAACGAACGAACACACAAGGAGACGGCAGAAGCGTTGAATGAATCGACAGATCGACAATTGATTGTTTCATTGGTTGACTGATAGTAGTTCTGGAAGATTCGTGGATTCGCTGCTTCGACTCAGATCGGAAAGCGGTATGAAATGTTGTAGATTGAGATCGAAGTTCCCCATCCCGTGGTCCGGTGGATTTCTAACTGCCGCCGTTGTTGTGCATTTCGCCGGCGAAGGTTTATTGATTAAGGCATAACGCATATCGCGAGCGTCCAAAGCGAAACGATACCACACAGCGGGACGATTGTCAATCTTTTCGGAGAGCGTTCTTGTTAAACATCTTCAGGACAATGTTTTACTCGTCGCAGACATACCTCAACTATTTTTGTAAACACTATGTAAGATCCCCGCGCCGAAACTGTTGAGAACTGTGCTCGTTGAGCTCCGCTGGCTCATTCGCCGCCTCAGTCGAAGCGTCGATTGATCGAAGCTTCTGTCTGGGATCAGAGCGACTTGTGCACAAGCAGTGAAGAGAAAACGGAGAAACACTTGACTGCCTCGAACTTTTGCGAGTTCAAGCACAACGGTTGCGGAAAGCACAGACAACCTGATCTGGAGCGGGAACCTAGCATCCGAACGTAGTGTATCTGGCTCTACAATATTCTGCTGCTGACGTCTACCACGGAAGAGGCGGGGAGGAGAAAACCCCTCGGTCGTCTCCAAACCTGATACCAGTCTGGAGAGTATTGAAAGCACTCTCCAGGGCGAGGGCCAAAGACATTTCGAGGCCGGAGATCCGCTTCAATCAAATGATGATGATGATAAAAACGAAATCCATCACCTCCGCATTCAAAACAGAGAGAGAGAAAGAGAGAGCGAGCGAGTGACGAAAGATACTCCATATATCATCATGAGTTCATCTCAAATCCACCATTGCAAGCCCGTAAACGATTCGAGCCTTCAAACAAACGCGATTTCAACGTTGTGAACAATAGACGTCTCTTTCTTCGGAAGGACACCTGCAAACGAATAATTGAAGTCGAGCGTTCTCAAGGAGTACATTCATCTACAAGAAACGAAAACTTCTGCACAAAACAATCATCACATTGAAAAACGTCTCAGGCTTCGACCCGTCCTGAACAGCAATTGCTGTTGAGCGAACTTCACCAATCACTAGGTAGACCAACCACCGCTGCATACTTTTGAACCGCGCGACGCTTTCTTTAAAATAAATTTTGTTATTAAAACCCTTAAGCTGGTTGAATCGTCTTCAGATGAGTCTTTGTACCTGAGGGATAATCAATAATTCTGCTGAAATCGATCGTACAGCAGAACGTCGTAGAAAAGAGTGATCGAGAGAGTCATCCTGCTTGCGAGTTCTTTCTGCTCTTCTGGGATGGAAATGATATATTCGAGTGCCATGGATGCTCTGTGGACCGCCTCCCTGGGGCAGCGAAGCGATTCCATTGGGAAGATTGCCTAGATTGGGTGGAGAGCGCGCTGAATCCACTGCCGGAGTCGACACACATTTCCGCTTGCGGTGTGAGGATACTTCCTGCTAAACAAAGGGACGTGATTACATCCGGTCTGATGCATCGACTCGCCGACGACCATGGTGAGCGAAAGCGCCGAGCTCGGTACATCACCTTCTGCTCTCGGTGAAAGGGAGTTCCACCTCTCTAATAATAGTGTGTTCCAGTTGTCTTTCGTCCACTCTCGTCCCAGTTCGAAGAGAATGATTCAAAGCGTCCACGAAAACTTGCCAGCGCTTTCCAAAATAGTCACGTACGAGGCCTGCGCAGAAGAGAGTCGGAGGTGAATGCAGCGCAGGCAGCTTTTCCATCACCAGGCACCAAGATCTCTTTCAGCGGGAAGCAACCGGGAGGAGGACTGGACGCATGTTACTGATATTACCGTTCCACATTTTTGAAGCGTAGTCCACGATTTCCCCGTTGGGACCCCACCTTCGGAGAGAGCAGGTGTTTTTTCGACCTCTATTCAAATGGCTTCATTACATGCTCGAATGGTCGCGACCGAAATCTCACTAGACCACCCAGCGGCCAAACCTTGTAATCTGGTTTCTTGCATTGAATTCGAATTGGTCCTGCAGATCGCGATCCAGCCCGGCTGATTCCCTTGAATCTCGTAACCACGATCCGAGCAGAAAGTTGGGGTCAGTTGACAGCACTGGGGGAGTTGAGCATTATTATGGAGCCTTTCCCCGAGAATTCGCGGGAAACGTGATAGAGGTCTGCCATTTTCTGTGAGCACCATTCTTCCGGCGCACGTCGGATCTACCTTTGTCGAGGACGCGAATGCAGTGAAGGAGGCGCCGAGAGTGTTCTTCGAAGTCGATGAGGCTATTTGCTTTGAAGTGGGACATCATCTGCAAGTACTCGTCGGAGACTCTCACCTGAGGAATTCAATGGTCCGCTTGGATTCCGAGAAAGATTCCGGATTTGGGCCGAGCGCCTGAGAGCTTTACCGCGCCGCACTCTGAAGGGACCTATCTTGGCAGCGCGGCTTCCTAAGCTTCGGAGTGACTCGGAAATAATGGATTTGAGAAGTCATTTTGTCAATGCGTTCGTTCCTCGCGTTTCGGAAGACGCTTCAGGAATCCTCTGAATCCCTTCGGAGAAGTCTCTCGGCCTTGGATTGTGAGCCTGTATCGGCCGAGCATTCAAAGAAAAAGCACAGGTTTGAGCCGCAGCCCGGTCGCGATGGGAGCGGAAGCTGTTCATCACCTGCAAGGCTTGACGGACCACGTCAACAAGATCCTGGTGGAACAATCTCTCATGACAGAGTTCCCGATGGAGGGTCGCCCCTCGGATAAGTTCCGTTGCTGCTCCGATGACATCGCTGCCATTGTACCTGAAAAGTTCAACAATATTGTCATCTGACGAGCGGCTCGGAGTCGCGTTTGTGCCTTCGCTCACAAACATCAAAGGCCAGCTAGACAGCCATACGCCAGGGAGGCTTGACACATGAGGACTTCTTGTGATCCTCGTTCTTTTCCGAGAACGGAGGTGCCGGCTCAGATCGATCAGCGACTCCACGGTGGAGGTTCGAGGAACAATTTCGCCTCTTCGGCGCGTTCTCGTTTCAGTGAGGAGCTAGTGAGTCTCGCCAGTCGCCTCAACCGGGATACGATCGCTATTCCGCCATCGAGGAGGAGCAGGACCTTTCTGAATACGAACCATATGAGCGGCGTTGAATTCAGCTTCGGTCGATGGGTGAGGATGTAATTCCCGTGGTTTTCTATACTTTTGCTGGTCAAACTGTACACGCTTTTTCGCAAGAGCTCCCATGCGTTTTCCAGATGGGGATCGCTGAGCCCATACCGGGCTCCAACGTAGTTTTGCAGCCACCTACGCGGAGGGGTAAATTGTTTGTTCCGCTTGACTTCCCGCCACGCTCATAAACTCTTCCGATCATGGGTGTGAATCGCTCACAGTGAAACGTTTTCAGACGAATCCCGGTAAGAATTCTCCGCCATGAACTCGTAGATTACTTCATTTTGTCCTATAGGGAAAGACATGATTACAAGAGACCTATTCTCGAACCCCAATTAGGAACGTCCACGTAGATGCGACGAATATATCACGCGCGATGCGAAACCTGTGGATGTCCTTGACTCCCGGAGTTCAGTGGACGTCCTCAATTCTTCTGAGATCCTCTGCAGCCTTCCGGAGAAATGATTGCTAGTTCATGGAGCTGAACCAGACAGTCAAAATGAGCGTCCCTCACCTGTTCCTTCGGGTGCAATTCCGATGCCGATCATGTTGGGAACGGATCGACGGACGTTCAACGGTTCGCTGTTGATCCATTCGAGGTTCCCGAAGAGTCCACTCACGCCTCCGTAGTTGTGGAGCATGCACCAAATGAACGGTTGTCCAAAATAGTTGGAAAACCTGCGACATGAGTGAAACATGCCTTATCCGGGAAGGCATTCTCGGTCGAGCAAAACGAATTATTGTAACCAAACGCTCGGCCGACTCAAGTGGGAGCCCTAGTGGAACGCGACTTTCGGTCGAGTGTTAGCGCTCGCAATGAGCAGGCGAGTATCGACTTCGGAGCTGACTCACCTTGGAAATTGAGGTGATTGTTCCGAGAAAAGGTCTAGGACTATCATTTTTCCGAGAGGTGGCCCTCCGAGAAATGCCTTGACTCGATCATGATTCCAATAATCCCCGCCATGGACGAAAAGCCATCCCTGCATAACTGGAGCAACGATAGGAATGCTTTTGGCGGGGAAATTCGGAAAAAGCAACCACACGACTTATGAGGATATGGAATCCGGTTCGAGGCCGAAACTCCTCGGTGGTCACTTACCCCAGATCCCTTTGGGATCTGCCTTCGCTATGGATTCGTAGACGTTCGAGCTCATTTCAGCCAAGGCCGCCGGATCGTCTGGCGGGAAATCGAAGCTTTCATTCAACACACGAGTGAAGGGCAATAGGGGAAATCGAGGCGGGACTCGCTGCTAGTCTCACTTGTGTCCGGCGTTTCTTCGTTGAAAAGATCCACGCTGTAGAGGTGGTCACTGCCGTATATGGATCTATACATGGTGATGTACAGTGATGACACGTTGAGGAAAAATGATTCGGTGGGTGCCAAGAACGTGAGCATGGCGTACTCGTCGGGAAAATTGTTCCACCTATAGGAATGAAAGACCCGCCGGAGCTCGCTGTCTCGGATCTCGGTTTGCATAAGCTGTTGGCGAACGGAAAGACCTTCCGCTCACCTCGAGGCTCGACTCCAGCTCACTGCTGGGTGGAGGCGCTCAAAAGCTCGAGGCACGAAGCCGTTGAAGCCTGGGACTACGGGAGTCATACCGAAATCCCTCATCCTCCGAAGGATCATCTTTTGAAGCAGCTGTTGTTGTAGCTGCCAGCTTGACGGCAGAGGACCGCCGAAACCTCTCAAGTTGCCCATACGATTCCAGGAGAGGAACGCGGGTCCAGAGAAAAATGTAGCGAGATCGGTGTCGTTGCAGCCGAACGTCTGCGAGCGTCATCAATATAATATGTGCTTCTCCAAACAGGGTCGACAAATTGATTCGGTGCGATGGACTCCACAACTCCTCCGAGGTCGCCAGATTCTTAGCGACTCCGGAGCCTATTACCTTGAAAACTTCGGCGGCCACGATTTCCTGACCGCTGAATGCAAGCGGTAGATTTATGCCGTTCATGGCCATCCAGTCAATCTCTCTTTGCCAGCGAGGCCACTGCCACCATACGAATGAGTATGATGCAGTGCAGACGTTCTCGTAGTAACGAACCTGCTCAACGAGTGACACGCGTATAACGCACAATACGATCATTCAGGGAGAACATTGACGCAGACTCATTACGGCGCTCTCACTTGGTCGGGCAAAGTTACGAGCAGCGCTCTCTGGGGAGCGGGCATTTTTTCCGGAAGAGGTATACGTTTCCCGGACCAGCTGAATTGCCCTCCGAGCAATTTCCGTATGTAGAAGTTGAGACCTTCGACGCATCACTCATAAATTCGAAGCAATCATCGCTGGAGAATGATTCGAGTCGGGATGTTCTCCGGGCGGAAATTCTCATTGGATTGGAAAGCTCTGTGAGACCGATCGTGGACTCACCATTCGCTGCGGCGTATCCGACGGTGCCTGTTATGAAAATCTGTAGAAGGCGCAAAATACCCACCTGAGAATGGTGGTCTTCGGAAATTATGAGATAATCAGTCAACGGGGTCGTACTAGGTATACTCTTCCGTGCCTTAGTCGAGTTGCCCTCCACTCGGAAGCCCTCTTTGCCGTCGAGCACGCTCTTCAGTGAAGGATCCACTCGAAGCTCGAAAATAGGTGAACCTTCCTCGACGACTCGCTCCAAGAGACCTAGAATTTCCTCGTCTCGGATTTCCCTCGAGGTTGGATTCTCGCCGATTCCCATCTCGAATTCGGAACTAGTCTAAAGCATGCGGGCCCCGTTTTGTCTACGATTGCTGCATGAACTCTTCGTGCTTTTGCTGAGGGTTCCGTTGCTGATTGTATGTGCCTTGATTTCGTATAAACATTCCGCATATCACCTTGTAGCGCTTCGTTTTGCGCTGCAACCGGTACATCGGGCCCGAGGAGTTCCAGCGAGAAACGCTCAGTATCCACTCCACTCGTCACCTGCGAATGTTTGCTCTCCGAGTCGGCTGAAGAGTTAACGAGATTTGGGGAGAATGAGCATCCTCCTTAGGTAGCCTCGCACAATCATGCAACCAATCACATACGTCGAGAGCAGAGAGCACAGCGAAGATTCGGAGAATGTATCTCCCGGAACCACTTATCGTAGCTGTCATGGCGTCGTGACCCGAGCGGTTCGTTCGGCACTGACGCTATGGTCTCTATGGTCGGTCCCTCGAAATGGTTTGGTTGCCTGAGACGACAGGGATTTGGGAGATCTAGATTCGATCCGATTATCAGCGATAAACGAGCTCGAACAGCCGCAAATGACGATTGGCGGTTAGGATCGAACGTGCGTCGAATCAAGAGACTGCTCTGCGAAGATCGAGTCTCCCACAGCGGACACATCCGTCTTTTCCGATCTCCTGGAAAACGATGAAATCCTCCTGAATTCGTTATGTTGTGTTACGGTAGAACGAGAAGATTGCAGAGCTCATCCAGATGTTTCTCTCTCGGTCCCTGCACCGTCCCCGAATGCTGATGAGTCTTCGGGCGAGAATTCGATTGCGGAACTAGGGTGAATAGGAGAAAGTCCAGGGAAAACTTCAGAGTTCATTGATGAGTTCATTTCTAGCCAATTGAAGGGAGTCCGGCCCAATGAGTTTAGCTATTGGGAAATTGGTTCCGTGTGGCCTTGGACAGTGCTCTCCCGACTTCCAAACGGAAAATCACCTTGGGCTGTTTGCGGTTCCCGATTCGGCAGCCGCGAACATGGAGGGGGACCCCTCGGGAACGCCACGGTGGAGGATATCCGGAGAGCTCATTCAGCCACGGTTTCTCCGTCCGGCTCGGTGTGCTTGAGCGCTCGCTCGATGAGGGTGGCCCGAGAACACAAGACGTCCTCTCCGGACAAGCGTCTTTGAGCGGCGACTTCTGAAGCTTCAAATCTATGGTAGAGCTCCTCCGAGTAGGGCCTCATCAGCAACGTATTTTTCCTTGAAAGAAAAGAGAGACTTTCCGGAGCAGAGAGACTTTCAGCGCGTCAGTTTCCGTTGCGTTTCGTCGGCCTCGAGGTGCGAATTATGAGAAATTCGCCGAGCAGTGTACTTATACAGGCATAAGAATATTATATATATAGATTTATTGCGCTTCTTAATGAGCATGGTACAAGGATTCAGAATGCTGCTTCCTGTACAAATCAACCATATTTACATTCGACTTAATCCGTGCAGGCTTACTTTTCCAGCGAGACACCGGGTGGCGTGGTATTTCCCACATAGCAGGCCACAATATCTACACGTACAAACATTTTCATCAGCATCATGAAATTCACTCTTCGTACAGATCCTGTGATGGTAGCCGTGAACTAAATACCTAGTAAACTTATGCCTATCATCCAGCCCAGAGCCTGCCCACAGCTCCGGCTTCTTGAAGATGTCTTCTCGACTGACTTCGGTCAGAGCGTCGTTGACCTTTTTACTCCATTCTTGGAGCATACAACTGAAGGCAGCGGTTTGGTCGCCTCGAATTCTCTGTCTCATCACGTCAATCATGAGTGGTGCCCCACTCAGGACGTAGACGTAACGGCTGCGCGCCGCGCGGTTGAGACACAGCGCCCGTTTCATGTAAATTTCAGGCATAAGAATATTGACATTCGATTGGTGATCCTAAAGAAGGGAGGGGGGTCATATACGAGATGAAGGGGTTAGGTGACACAGACATACCGCTTGAGCCGCTCTCCCAGCGAGGGGGAGCGGGACGCTTTACCGTCGCTGCACGAAACCTGAACAGGAGGGAGTCTGGGGTTTCTCGACGCATCGGCAGGATGTGTTCGCTCTCAGAGTTAAAGAAAGACGCACGAAAGGCTCCTCGTCCAAACGAGGTAGTCACTGAGGGAGGGGGAGAGTTTTTGAAGTTTGCTCCGAAGTCTGCGAGTGGGTGCATTGTTCGCCGAGAAGTTTTGGGTGTCCGATTTCCTCGCGACATCGCACGGAAGCAATTTCCTCAACCGCTTCCGACGGTGACGACGCTCTAATACAATACAAGTGATTTATTCGCAGGTTACCCGCAGTGGTTTGATATCTCTCGAGCGATTGAGCTGATCGTCTTGTCTTGAAAATATATACAACTCAAGATGTGGTGGCGGTCTATCCGCTCCATTCCACAGTATTTACAAGTACATAAGTCAGTTATTGTCTCGAAGAAGTCCGCTCTCTGGCAGATTTCGTGATGATAGCCGTGGTACGTAACGCGGCATATGTAGGCCCTGTTTTTCTGGTTGGCTTTCTTCCATGTCTCTCCGGTGAACGCTGGTCCGGTGGTGAAGCCTGCATTATGGTGTTTGGCCCTCTTGATCTTGAGGCTCTCCCTGTACTCGTTCCATGCAGTGTCGTTGAATCGGTATCCTAGCTCGCTCAAGTCTTCGCAGAGGGTTTTCTCTCCTGCCAGTGCTAGCACGATGTGTTTGACGTGTACCTGCTGAGTCCGAGGGTCGCTTTCAGGAAGATTGTCTTGCTCTTGTCGAGCTCGGTCATCGTGGTCTTGGCGAGGTGTGGCGCTATCGTCGACATTCCGTACCGTACGATGGCCATGATTTTCATGTCGTAGATTTTCATTGCCAGGTTGAGAGGTAGCTTTCGCAAATCTCCGAGGCATATGGTGACGGTCGCCGTTCTGAGTAGTAGTTGGGTCACATGCTCGCTGAATCCGCAAGCTGGCTGCATCGTGATTCCCAGATACTTGAAGTTCGTGACGTATTCTATCTGCGTGCGGTTTATGTACTACTTGTTCTTGCCGAGTGCGCCTGCTTTTCGGAACTTCATCGCTTTGGTTTTCGTCGGTGTTGACGGACATCTCGTTCTCGTCGCACCAGATCGTGAGAGCCGATAGTGCTCTCTGTACTTCGTCCGCGTCGTCCGACGCGATAACAAGATCGTCGGCGTACATTTTGACGAGTGTTTTTCGACGTTCCAGTCTCTCGAGTAGGCCGTTGATGAAAAGGACAAAGAGGAGCGGAGAGTTTGCGTCGCCTTGCACTACTCCTTTATGTTGTCTGATATGTTCGCTTAGGTGTGTTCCGTTGTCGATGATGAGACTATTCGGCTGGAGTATCGATCTAAGGATGTTCAGCATCTTCCCTTTGATGTGGAATTTCTCCTCGATGGTCTGAATAAGTTTCTTTCTGTTCACGTTGTCGAAGGCTGTCTTGAAGTCCACGAATACTGCATATGTGGGTTTGGTGTTTTCCTCCACGAGTTTCATCAGTGCCTCGATCGCGTCCTCGCATGATCGATGTGGTAGAAAACCGTGTTGATTCTCAGAGATGTACGGTAGACAGTGTTGAATCAGGCGGTTAGTGATCGTGCTTGTGAAGGCTTTGTACATGTGAGATGCGAGATTGATGCATCTGTAATTGTTCGGGTCGTCTGCCGATCCTTTCCCCTTGAAGAGCGGTTTCACATAAGCTATGCGCCAGGAGTCCGGGATCGTTCCTGAGTCGAAGCTTTCGTTGAATATACGGGTGATGAGAGGGGTCAGTATCTCGTTATCCTTCAGGACGTCCGCGGCGATTCGATCTGGTCCGACTGCCTTGTGTCTCTTCAATCTACTTATCACCGCCGCGACTTCTTCGTTGGTGATATATTCATTGTACCATATCTCGTTGTTGTCTTCGTGTTCGTCGTGGTCGTCGTTTTCCTCCGGGTGCGTGGGCTCTGTATTCGAGTACAGCCTGCCGTAGTGATCTTCGAAATCCGAAATCTCGATCTTCGGGATGCAGGGGGCTTTCCTTCTTGGTAGCATTAACCACGGTTTCGCTCTACTTGCGTGAACTCTTTTTTCGAGTTCCTTGAGTTCGTGTTCACATCGTTTCTTCTTAATGGCGTCTTTGTACTTTCTTCGGTGTTTGGTGTAGTCCTCAGTGCGAATTTTGCTCAGCGCCAGTTGTTTCAGGGTGTTGCATTCCTCGTCGAACCATGGCTTGTTCTTCGGTTTGCCTTTGTGCGTTTCCATAATCGCCGCCTTCTCGATGGCTCCCAGCAGGTTCATGTATGAGTCGTCTGGGCTGGGTTCTGCGCGTTCGATAGAGTTCGATAGATTAACAACGAGCTTGTTGTGATCCACTTTCCGGATTGCACTCATCGGTCGCTTCCCTTTGATTTCTGCTTCGGGTTCGAGCGAGGGGATGTCGACGATGATGCGTTGATGTTTTCTGTCAACGGTTGGCATTATCTTCATCTTGGTGAAGGGGACTAGGTCAGCCGTGACGAAGATCAGGTCGATTGTGCTTCGACCATTATGTGCGATATATGTCGTATCTTGCGATTTGTTTAGGAGATGTAGATTGAGCAAAAGGAAGGCTTCTATGAGGCTCCTGGCTCTGGAGTCTTCTACGTCGATGCGGCAATTGAAGTCGCCGTAGAGTATCACAGACTTCGTGACTATTTTGTTCACTATGTTGTGGATGTCGATTATGATCTCAGCTACTGGTGTGTTCGGTTTGTAGTATGCCACAATGTACGTTGTATTTTCGTCTTGAACTCCAAGAGCATATTCGTTCTTGAACATCGTTTTCATATTGGGGATCAGCGCGGATGCGAGTATAGCTAGTCCTCCGCTTGGTCTTCCCTTAGTCTTTTGCGCTCCCGCAGTGAAACTTTTGTAGTGTTGTATGATTTGTTCCTCCGGTTCGTTTGTCAGGAATGTTTCGGTCAACATCACGATCGTAAATGGGCTGAAGTCGAAGGTACTCTCTTTTTTCATGAATCCTTGGAGTCCCTCTATGTTCCAGCAGAGTATGCGGAACGGTGACCGTCATTGCATGCTGCTGTCATCGCGGGTGCGTGGCAGCTTTCTCTTGGGCGATTCGTTAGTGTGGCCTATCTCGTTTCCAAACTTTCTGTAGTCGTGGAGTTTTCCTCGATAGGGACGAAACTGCACGTTCACCGGCCAAGCTGAACGTTCATTGATGTCGTCGAAGTACTCACTTGCCACGGCGATGTGAAAGCTAGCGTAGTAGTCCTGGTGTTCGCTTTTCAGTCTTGTGATCTGTATCGGGGCGTTTTCCGGGATGATTCTCCTCAAGTGGTCCATTACGTCCCGGTCGCTCGTCTGTTTGTTTAGACGGGAGACGAAGAGGGCTTTGTGTTGAGGCCTCGGTGGTATCTCGACTTCAGTTGCTTTCAGTGTCGTGAATCTGGAGGTACCCATGTGATTTTCCGCTTTTCTGCTACGGCTACCTATTCTGGCTTGCGGTTGGTTCTGTGGGGGTAGACGTGGTTTTGTGTTTCTCGTTTCCCTTTGTGTTGCTTCGGCGTAGCTCAATCTCCTCCTTGGCTGGGAGTGCGGGGCAGTGTGTGAGCGAGGAGTCTGGGGAGTCCGGGGCGCGAGTGTGCTGATGCGCGCGGATTGTTGTGGTTTCGTCGGCGGCACAGCTGATTGACCGGGGTGTCTCAAGAGCTGGTCGAGTTTCTCGCTCAGTGTCCTTATCGATCCTTGGTTTGGGCATCGGAGGGTTATCAAGGGTGCGATGAGCCTCGACGTCTCTCTCCAAAAGCAGCTCTTGCAGAACACGTCCTTCTTGTCCGGGATTCGGTATCCGCATTGTTCGTGAGTGGTGTGGAAACACATTCCACATACGAGGTTACTGGTCGTATTTGAGACTCGGTCGTTGCACGATTGGCAGACTGTTGGGCCGGGGTTCATTTCCACGTCTCCCGCCAGAAGTAGAATCATCGCGAGTACCGCACTTCGAACGATGGTGTTCGCTTGGAACGTTAGGCTTAGCGTTTGATTCGCGTTGTGCCACGGCTTGAGCTCCGCGAGGCCTTTGGACCGGTGCGTCTGGTGGTCTTCCGAACTCAGGCTGTTTTCTCGTATCACTGTCACGTATTTTCCTCCGCGATTCACTGCGAGGAGGCTCCACATTAGCAGAGCGCATATGAAACGTGTGGTCATCATGGCCGCCATGACCCTTACTCTAATGACTCACGATCATTGCTCCCGGAATCGGAGCGGTTCTTACGGCTCGGATACTCCCTGCGAGTCCGCAAACCACGTTCGACCACGGAAGCTCGAAGGCTGATATACTTTCAGAGGAGACCACATACGCGATTCCGAATGGCGGACTGAGGTACCCTCACTCCGCACCAATGTTTCCCGAAGGAGGCCAGGTTCTTCCCGAGGATCCGGAGGTGCACCCCCTTCCGCGAAATCTTATCATCTTATCCAATGCTTGACATAGGTTCGTGGAACTCCAGGGATTCAGCGTGATCGGAGATTTATTTGTTGATCCAGGAACCCGAACACGTAGCTACGACTCTTCAAGGTAGGTACCCAGCCCCAAGAGCAGGAGAGGAATCCTGAGAATCCCGCCTTGCATCCCCACATCTAGACCGCAGCTTCGGAATAGCTGATTCTTTCCTTGCGATACCCGGACAGCGATTTGGAATTCACAGAGAATTGACAGCAAATAGCCATCTTCAGTTTCCAGCAGGTTGAAGAAAGTTCATCACAATCGTTCATGATCCTCGCAAGCGACGGGAATCTCTTGTGAAACTATCTCAGCTCTAGCGGGCCTTACTAAGAGCGCAAGTAGCGGCGCGGCGATACCGGTACGAGGTGATGAGAATCCGTCAGATGGCCGAAAAATACAATTCATGGCCGGTTGGGGATTTCGAAGCATCGCGTTCTCATCTTCCGAATGTGTTCCGACCGCATCGTGTTTCTCCCACTCCCATCGTATGACCGGCTCTCAGAAGGCATATGATGACCATGCCTGTTGCTGACAAATCATAGCCTCGAGCTTTCCGACGATCGGGGAGCCCAGAAAGAAACGTCGTACGAGCCAAACACTCAGGGATCTCGGCAGGCTTCTCGTTGCCTCTCGTCTTCCATTGCGTGGTAGTTGCTGGATGCAGCGAATCGCGCGAACTTGACGCATCGGTGAGCCATAGAATCCACCTCGCAATTTTCGAGTCAGGCCGCGCGGCGCCTTTGTCGCCATTCGGGGACTTTGCACAGACTCTTGAGAGAGCTGGGATACGGAGACAATTTCACCGGACGAGATGTGTGTTCCTGTGCATTTCACTCCGGACGTTCCTGATAGGGTCGCCACAAATATAGGTCTCTGACGGGAAGAGGAAGGCTAGAGCCGCCATAAGACTCTCTCTCCAATGTCCATTGACATTCTCCGCTCCGGAACCGCAGAAACGATCGCACTGAGAGTGCGCTCCCAGAACCGAAGTCGCAAGTGATTTTTCTCTCTCAACCAATAGATTTCTCAGACTAATCCACGAGGGCATCGCTTCGTTTCGCAAGCCCACGCAGCCCACGCATTATCCGGGAGCCATCCGAATAGCATAGCACACCCCACCGATATGAATGTCAGAGTCTACATTTTTTTCCCACGAAGACACAGGAGCAAAATTCATCTCCGTTTCTGGCCTTCACCACTCATGTACCGGGACAGTCATAATCCGTAGTCGGTTGTTCATCGTCATCGGCATACGCCACGCGGCAGCTGATTTCAAGGATCGAATAATTCGCGACATAATAATCACAGGCGGACGCGCAAGAATGCCTCCGTCCATCGAGGTCACTCGAGAACGGAGCGGCATCAGCTCCGCGGCTTCGTCAGATCGTGAGCCTTCAAGGTGAGCAGGAACCCTTTCGGAGGAGATTTTCCCGTTCGTCCATTAGGCCTCTGTTCGGTGGTCCACCGTGCGTTTATTTCTACCTGTGACTGAAGCCCCTGGCCTTGGCTGCGCTAGTGGCAGCAGCAACAGATTCAAGTCGACAGGCAGGCAAGCTTCGAGCTCCGCAGAGGACGGCCGCCAGAGGCGCTGGCCGTTGTGGCAAAGTAGCGGACTCGCTGCGGGTAAGGGCTTTCTCTTCCTAAGTTCTCTTTCCTTCGTTGGCCATATACCCCGCTGAGGTTGCGTGTAGCCGTCATTGAATCCTCCGCGAGGAGCTCGTCGCATTCGCGCGCTGCAACTCTTCTTCTGAGTAACAGGTGGCAAGCCGTCAACGGCCAACAAAGTCAGTTACAGTGCTCGCTGCGATTTGAGGATTTTCCACAGTCATGTCGGTGAGCACAAGCACAATTTTCCAGGACCACGTCGTGGATACAAGTCTTTGAACGAGAAGTTGAACTTTCCCCGGCAAACTTCATTCGGTGACACGGAATCTCGCTTAGCTGGAATGTGGTGGAAAAACTCATTTCCGAAGAAATTTTTTGAAGACGAAATTCTGCAGTCCCATCGGGGATGAGCAAAGCGAACCCCTGGGAGAGACCATTTAAATATTCCAATGGGCTAATTCTGGGTCGTTGAGGGTCCACGAATCTGAACACATTTGAGCGGACTAGTTGCAGAGCTTTAGTCGTATCGACCCACTGATGAGCACAGCGAGTCACCGGGATCATAGCTCGAAGTTTTTCATCAGACCCTCTACAGGTTTTCGTCGCATTTCCGGCGATTCCCCTAATTAGATCGCGAGGCACGATGCTCGTCTAAGTGGTGCGCGTTTTCCCGCGGCTGAATAGCATACGGTCGAGCACTCACGATAATTAAAGCAGCGGACTTCCATGCCGGACGATGGTTTTCCCGCGGATAGGAGTCCTGGCCTCGCAACATCCAGACGCAGGAACAAAATCCAACATCAACAGAAATAATTCAATCTGACGAACCAGAATACGCGCTGCGAACTGAGAAAAAACAGCTGATACATGGATATAGATCCGGTGGAACTCCCTGAATAAGCCTCCCGCCACTGCGTCGAGGAACAATGAATTCGCGCCTCAGCACACTCGTAATAGGGATAGACGTCTCCTCCGCACCGACCGATGCAAACGCTCGAACGGCTTCGAAAGGCCCCTCATACACTTGATGGAAGCCAGCCAGCCAGCCAGCCAGCCAGCCAGCCAGCCAGCCGGCCAGCTAGTTAGCGAACGGGCGAGTTCTCCGGCGAAGCCACCTGCCTTCTCCGCCGCTGCCTCATGATGTCAGTCCATTCGGCAGTCGCAAAGATCTACCGCACTTATGATCATCCCAAGCGGAGAAAACTTCTGGAACTAGTCACGCTTTCCAGATATATTGAGGATGCGGACCGGGAAGACGCGATCCGGAGCAAGGACACGAGCTTCGCATGACAGAAAAAGCCGACGTGGTAGAGTACAAGAAAAGTCAAACAGACATCGGCGAAGAGGAATCAGCGGATAAGTAGTTTTCCGGGACTGAGTTCCGCAATACATGCACATTTCCCCTGCGTCTGTTTTTGCCCCAGAACGGGGTGTCCGACAGTTGTTTGTTTCCGCGTCCTCGGAGCCTCTCGGCAATAGCAAAGTTCCTCGCGAGCTCTAAAATTTATATACGTGGACCATGTGGCAGGCAGAAGCATCGCCCGCACACGACAGAGCGTCACTTACAATTGGTTGAACGACTCAACGTCTTTCCGACGCTCGGATCGCTCCAATCGGTCGCAACTGCTCAATGATTCATGCGCCTGCATTGAACTCTCGAGTGCACTCAAGTGACGGGATGGCGAGTCGCCCCGACGATTCAAGTCCATGGACAACGGAAAGAAGACGGCCAATCACGAATTTTCAAGCCCCGCTCGAAGAAGCCGCTGTGGAGTCCTTGAGAATCTCCTATCTGAGGTTCAGACATGGGATTGAGCACGCAGCTGCGTCCCGATGTCCCAGGCCATCCATAATTACGGAGCTCTCCCGATGTTCGAGTCGGCTGTCCGAGTCTGCGAGCCGTAATTGGAAGGATGACATGTGATTTCGAATGAGGTCCGACCGTCACAACGTATGCAGGGGAACGCGATAACGTTAGAGAGCCTCTGCATAGAGGAATGATTGGGTTCATATCGGCTGTTGCCATCGATATTCCGCTCTGTTCCTCCCGGGCTTAATCTGTCCCCCGAACGGTGTCGTATCGTTCCCAAAGTCCGTAATCTGTGCTTCTAGTGGAGCAGCTTGTTTTTGAGAGGAGAACCGATCATGGAAATTAGCTGCAGCATATGTATTCACAAACCTCAGCTGGAGCTCATCCAAGGATTCATTCGAATTTCCTGGGGGGAGACGCATCACCTGACAAGTCGTCGATCGATGTAGCCGATGGAGCCACCGGTCGAGGGAAGAATGTCCCATTTTCCGGAACCTTGCTCGAAACCATTCGCAAACAGGTTACGCCGAGCCGTACACACGAGTTTGTTCGAATGGCGTTGCTTCACGGAAGAAACCTCGATTCCGCCGTCTCTCTTCTCGGAAGAGCTCCTACAGTCAGTTCCTTCCTTTCGCAATTTGAAGTCTCGAGTGAACCTCGTTGAATATTCTGACAGGTTGTGTTCTGAGTATGATCCTGCCTATCGACTCGCCGGTCCGCGAAATTCCGTTGGGTCTCAGCGCAGGAAATCGAACGACTCCGAGTCAAAACACGGGTCATATTATGTGTCACGTTACCCTGCCGTCGGATGGATCGATTCTCTGCTTACCCCTCCGTTCGCGTCATATATGGCGCCTTATCCGTATCCGCGTACCGTCGAGCTGAGAGGCCATACAGTGCGTTCACCTTCAATCGGTGGAATCGTACGATGATGCCATTTCTCCTTAGTTATTACAAGTGAGCGCTCTTCGCCTGTGCGCGAACCCGAGCGCTTTAAGGTCACGGTAATGCACGGGAGCGGATAATTGCGGCCTCGAGGGAAGTAAAGGAGCTGCCGATGGAAACACCGCGACCTCGAAGCGCGCAAGTCCTGAAATGAGCCCCAACGTCGCTGCCCTGCGCGAAATTCGGACTCGAATTCCCGCATCCTCGAGCGATTTCTCCAGCTCGTCGTCCCATTGCTGTCGCCTCGGATGCTACCCGAACTCATAGCCCATTCTTCCGGAAAGTCTCCGTTCCTTTTTATTCCTCGTTGGGATCCGAGACAGCCGCGAGCTACATTGCCTCGCGCAAAGCTTGTTTCGGCATAACCGCGGCTTCCATCGCTCAGGGCTGAGCCATCCAGTCATCATCATGGCTCCGTGGGCCCAGGAGTTCGCGCCAGGGAACGGACAAAACTCTCCTAGCCCGATAGTTCTTTCTCTGAACGGCGAAGGAGGTCTCCTCTGGGTAAAGGAGCCTCACACGGAGCTAACACGAGAAGTCGCTCGGATGTTGCTTCCTCCGGCAGCGCACGTCTCCCACTGACTCTATTCACGTTAGAACGATTTTCCCAGAGAAGTGCCAGCCTTCCTCAGGCGGAGCCCCCTGGGAGCTTCTCCCGAAAACTGATTCCCTATGGGAGATTATTTGGGAAAAGCTCCGACAGAAAGTCGGTCGCTCGAAGCTTTTGAGAATTTCCTCGCCGCGCGCCGTCGACCGCGCCTCTCTGGCAGATAGGACCTTGCGAATACCTCTTGTATGTATATGCGACTTCGAGGCGCGCCCCACTGAGCGTTGTTTTATAATCAGTTGCCATTGTTTTCCTCTGCAGGCTTCCGATAGCATTGAGCGGGAAGACTCCGCTCATTAATTGGGTCTTTTTTCCATGACCGGAACGCCGAAACCCGCCTAGGTGTCTGGTAACGAGAAAGAAAAAACAGCCGAGCGGCCTCCAGCACATTGGAAGTCTTCATCGAGTCCGGCGATGTCAGGCGGGCGGGCCCACGCCCTGTCGCCGATGCTGAGATTTCCATCGCTCGACCTCAGCAGGAATTGGACCGACCGCAAGCACGGCGGAGAGCGAGACAGCAGAGGGCAGTTATTCGATCCCTGGAGTTTTCCTCGATCAAAACGTCCCGACTCGATCCGGCAGACTTTGTCCCGAGGCCGGAGATCGCTTCCGCGATGGACGAGACCGCCTTCATCGGGCTCAACGAGGATCGTTTTCCACGACCGACGGTCGATCGCTTGACAAAGGATACGGATTCCATTTATTCTGAAAGGTCTCTTCCTGGAGTGATATCCGACGCCTCCAACAATAGGCGGTGGGTTTCTGGTCGCATAGGACACACGAACCATAGGGAAGCGTTCTTTGTCCCGTGCCGGGAGTCGTCTTGTTCCCTTTGCTTTTCAAATCCGGATGAGTGCGTAGCTCTTCCCGTTGGCAACAGCTGGCCGCTCTGCTCCGTTGTCGTGTCGTGGCGTGAAACGCGTAATCAGCCGACCGGTATGAGACCACCGCTTAGTTCGAGTGCAGGTCGAGAGCCAGGTCGTGGGAGACAACTGAAAGGGGACCAGCTCGCACAACCGGCCCGCATGGACGTCTCTGGCGTGCGAATCGACGGGAACCAGATGGACCCGGAACCTTGGGGTCCAATGGAGCGGCAATGCAAAGCTCTGCGCTTTCCGGCTACGAGTTCTCGGGTTTACAACCTCGCCTCGAAGGATTGACCGCTTTACTCCGCTGGCGCGTCCAACTTGACCGACTGCCCTCCTGACTAGCAATCGGGAAGGCCACTAGGTCAGACGAGGCAATGTCTTCTTGGGCTATCGCTTCCAGGCTCGAGCCCTGGCTGCAGTTCCCGGAGGCCTCCTAGGGAAACAGGGTCGGAGTCCCTGTCGTGACATAAATTACTTGCAACAGCCCGAAGACCAAGGGCAGCCAAACGGAAATCCTTTGATTCCCAGGTCAAACAAAGAGCCAACCACCAGCGTTTTCGATCACAAAATAAGCAGTGCTGATCGGGATCAAGCCGTTCTTGTGCGTATTGACCGGCCACGAGGGCAGCTGCTCCTGTCAAGAAGGTGCGTCTGATGAGGCCGAACCGCAGCACAATGCGCGGGCTCCCGCCGCGAGACTAACGGGTCAACAGTCCTCAAAGAAGCAAATAGCAGGCCCGGCGTCAGTCAAGGCATCACAAGCCGATGCGTCTTTTTCTCCGACACGAAGCTGTCGCGTAACACCTATTCCCGTGTTCGTTCATCCGTCAGCAATTCTATTACGTTCATTCCCCTCGAAGTCGGAGGCACTCTTCCCTATGCCCTGGAGCGGTGTACGTTGCTTCACTGTTCGCTACCGCTCCGAGAGGGAGGAAGGTCCAGGTAGGGGAGCTCGGCTGTGAACGATGGAGGAAAAATAATCTCCTGAGAGATGGGG